CGCGTCCCCCTTCACAATTCAGCCGAGGCTCTGGCGAGCGCGCACCGCCGCCGCGTCCTCCGTCCCGATTCAGGCGCGGATCAGGCGAACGCGCGCCGCCGCCACGTCCCTCGTCACGCTGCTGACGCGGATCTGGAGAGCGCGCGCCACTGCCACGCCCCCCGCCGTCACCTTTCTCTCCGTCGCGCGGCAGGTCTCGAGTACCGCCCTTTCCTTCCGCCTCCGCCGTGCTCGGCTCCGCCGCCACGCCCGCCTGCGCGGGATCGTCGTCATCAACTTCAGCGGGCATCTCGCGCTGCTCGCCTGCGCCTTCCTCCTGGGGTTCGTCATCGCCCTTGGTCTCGCCTTCACGATTCGTCTCCCGCACTCGATTCGCCGAGTCGGCCTCGTCTTCTCCATCCACATCAAGATCGCCTTGGCGACCCGAGAAGAGCTCCTCCAGACCTCGCCCGCGACTTCTCTCTTCGCGACGGCGATAGCCTTCCTCCGGCGAGCGGTATGCTCCCGTGTCCTGGCGGTACCCACGACCGCCATCCGCTCCGTGACGCCCGTCCGTCCGCCACGGGTCACTCCCCGGCGTGACGGATCCAGATCCGCCTCTTCCTTCTCGGGCGGATCCTCCCTCCTGGCGATCTGGCGCGAGAAGGACCTGATCCGCGCGAAAGGCCGGCCTCCGCGGCGATCGCTCAGGCCGCCGCGGCGACCTCTCCAGCGAGCGCCCGCGCTCACGTGAGCGTTCGCGCCGCGAGCGATCCGCCTCACGGCGACCATAATTCCTGCCGTAACGCATCTCGTACACATCCATGCTTGTACGCGCACCTTTCTGTTTGTTATGGAAGCGACAGAACTCTCACCTCAAAGGTCCTCCCTGAGTGGTGTGCCACCCGCCTGCTCTGGTAAGGTAACAACAGTCCACTATACGAAAGGATAACAAACAGAAAGCATCAGAGGTGTGTGTGAGAGTGAACTTACCTGACCCTGGCTCGAACCGTGCATTTCTCAATGTGCGGCTCGAGCCTGGGTTGGTTCGTTCTCATTGGTTGCAAGGATTTCACCCAAGGTGCTCTCCTACCAACTTCGCGTCAATTTCCCAGCTCCCACCTACCTATCCTCGAATTTGCAAACACAACATAGCTACACCTCCACTACACCACCATGATACTGGCACCTTATATGCACAACCGTGCATATTCGGTGACATCCTCTTCGTCATCCTCTTCTTGCCACACTCCTCCATCGCCGCTCACCTCTCCTCCATCGGTCCTCCTCTCATGCCTGAATCTGCCTTTCCACAGGCTTTCCCTTCAAGAACATCTCTGCTCACTCTGCCTTTCCTTTCACCTTTTCTGAGAATCTGGTTACATCCCTGCAGGCCCTCTCTCGTGCCTCAACCTGCGCTTCCGCCGGTCTGAGATCCCGCCCCAGTTTGACCCCGTGCAGCAAGCAGGTGAGGGTGGTGCTGTGAGGGGGGTGGTGTGAGGGAGGTGCGGGTGGTGGTGTGGATTCGCTATCAATCCGTTAGCAGCCAGTTACGAGTCGGGTAGCAGCCAGTTACGAGTCGGGTAGCAGCCAGTTACGAGTCGGGTAGCAGCCAGTTACGAGTCGGGTAGCAGCCAGTTACGAGTCGGGTAGCAGCCAGTTACGAGTCAGGTAGCAGTCAGTTAGCAGTCAGTTAGCAGTCAGTTAGCAGTCAGTTAGCAGTCAGTTAGCAGTCAGTTAGCAGCCAGTCAAACAGTGAGTTGCCTGTCAGCGAGCAGTCACTTGAAGGGCAAGTTAGCAGTCAGTTGATGCTGTGCAGCAAGGAGGTGAGGGAGGTGGAGTGGATTAGTAAGCATGTAAGGTACGTAGGAGCCATTGCATACCGGGCAGCAGCCTGTGCGAGGTAAAAACAGAGCTCGTTCAACGTACGTCCATATCTGTCCCTGGAGCATGAATAATCTGCTATCATTTTGTTGCATTAATCAGCCTCACAAAAAAGTGATGTCCCGAGATGTCTGCCCCACCAATTGGAGATTTCGTTGAGGATGCCCCACGCTGCCTTGCCGTCCTTTCCAACCCATTCTTCCTATACTACAGCGACTTGAGCTCCATTTTCTAATCAGTCAATTCTTTGCAGCAGATAAACGTATTAACCCGCTCTTGCCCTGCCTTATTATCACCCTACCGCCATCCCCTTTACAGTGTGCATCATTTGCAACCAAGACTTCAAGGACCTTCTAGAAGCTTGCGGTTCATCGCGCCCCTCCGTCGCCTCTCACCCGCGCCCTCCCGCTCCCCCGTCATCCCATGCACCTCCATTCGCCAGTACTCGTTCCTCCTCCGCTCCTCCTTTCCGAAACCCCCCCACCGCCTCTGCATCTGCACCACCACCACTCACAGCCCGTGGCTCGGGCCGAGCCTCTGGTGCAGGCTCGGGGAGAGGGACACAGGCCCGAGGTTCGGCAGCAGGTGGAAGTACCAGGTCAGGCCGAACCAACGCCCAGGGTCAGCAGAGGCGTGGAAGGGGGGGACAGGGAAGTGTGGGGACACAGAGGGGAGGGGGCGGCAGGGGAAGGGGTGGTGGGGGCGGGAGAAGCAGCAGAGCGGGGCAAGGGGGAGGGAGGCGTGTGGTTGGGGCGACTGGTGAGAACATGGGCTTTGTACGGTCTAGTGAGGCAACTCAAGGTGCTGGTGGTGGTGGGAGGGGTGGCGATGCTGGGTGTTACACCTGTGGTGATCCGTTTCACTGGTCACATGAGTGTCCTCTTAACCAGTAAGATGCTCCTTCAATCTCAAGTGTATATAGTATTGTGTATGATTTTCTCATGTTCTGTAACCTTGTTGCAATTTTGTGTGTACCATCTTGTAAAACGGCAGAGTGGATTCTATTCAAATGTCTATCGAAACAAACACTCTGAGACAGGCAAGAAATTGGATACAATTGGTGTGGGATCACAGACTGACCAAAGCAGCACACTCCACATGCCCACCCAACCCTGAAACCAATCCCCCTCAACCCCCCTACACACACATGCACAACCCCACACACATCCCTACTGCAGCAGCAGCAGCAGCAGCAGCAGCAGCAGCAGCAGCAGCAGCAGCAGCAGCAGCAGCAGCAGCAGCAGCAGCAGCAGCAGCAGCAGCAGCAGCAGCAGCAGCAGCAGCAGCAGCAGCAGCAGCAGCAGCAGCAGCAGCAGCAGCAGCAGCAGCAGCAGCAGCAGCAGCAGCAGCAGCAGCAGCAGCAGCAGCAGCAGCAGCAGCAGCAGCAGCAGCAGCAGCAGCAGCAGCAGCAGCAGCAGCAGCAGCAGCAGCAGCAGCAGCAGCAGCAGCAGCAGCAGCAGCAGCAGCAGCAGCAGCAGCAGCAGCAGCAGCAGCAGCAGCAGCAGCAGCAGCAGCAGCAGCAGCAGCAGCAGCAGCAGCAGCAGCAGCAGCAGCAGCAGCAGCAGCAGCAGCAGCAGCAGCAGCAGCAGCAGCAGCAGCAGCAGCAGCAGCAGCAGCAGCAGCAGCAGCAGCAGCAGCAGCAGCAGCAGCAGCAGCAGCAGCAGCAGCAGCAGCAGCAGCAGCAGCAGCAGCAGCAGCAGCAGCAGCAGCAGCAGCAGCAGCAGCAGCAGCAGCAGCAGCAGCAGCAGCAGCAGCAGCAGCAGCAGCAGCAGCAGCAGCAGCAGCAGCAGCAGCAGCAGCAGCAGCAGCAGCAGCAGCAGCAGCAGCAGCAGCAGCAGCAGCAGCAGCAGCAGCAGCAAGCAGCAGCAGCAGCAGCAGCAGCAGCAGCAGCAGCAGCAGCAGCAGCAGCAGCAGCAGCAGCAGCAGCAGCAGCAGCAGCAGCAGCAGCAGCAGCAGCAGCAGCAGCAGCAGCAGCAGCAGCAGCAGCAGCAGCAGCAGCAGCAGCAGCAGCAGCAGCAGCAGCAGCAGCAGCAGCAGCAGCAGCAGCAGCAGCAGCAGCAGCAGCAGCAGCAGCAGCAGCAGCAGCAGCAGCAGCAGCAGCAGCAGCAGCAGCAGCAGCAGCAGCAGCAGCAGCAGCAGCAGCAGCAGCAGCAGCAGCAGCAGCAGCAGCAGCAGCAGCAGCAGCAGCAGCAGCAGCAGCAGCAGCAGCAGCAGCAGCAGCAGCAGCAGCAGCAGCAGCAGCAGCAGCAGCAGCAGCAGCAGCAGCAGCAGCAGCAGCAGCAGCAGCAGCAGCAGCAGCAGCAGCAGCAGCAGCAGCAGCAGCAGCAGCAGCAGCAGCAGCAGCAGCAGCAGCAGCAGCAGCAGCAGCAGCAGCAGCAGCAGCAGCAGCAGCAGCAGCAGCAGCAGCAGCAGCAGCAGCAGCAGCAGCAGCAGCAGCAGCAGCAGCAGCAGCAGCAGCAGCAGCAGCAGCAGCAGCAGCAGCAGCAGCAGCAGCAGCAGCAGCAGCAGCAGCAGCAGCAGCAGCAGCAGCAGCAGCAGCAGCAGCAGCAGCAGCAGCAGCAGCAGCAGCAGCAGCAGCAGCAGCAGCAGCAGCAGCAGCAGCAGCAGCAGCAGCAGCAGCAGCAGCAGCAGCAGCAGCAGCAGCAGCAGCAGCAGCAGCAGCAGCAGCAGCAGCAGCAGCAGCAGCAGCAGCAGCAGCAGCAGCAGCAGCAGCAGCAGCAGCAGCAGCAGCAGCAGCAGCAGCAGCAGCAGCAGCAGCAGCAGCAGCAGCAGCAGCAGCACTTGAGAAGCAACTGAGCAACTGAGAAGCAACTGAGCAATGGAGGTGTGACGTAACAAGTGATTTGGTCAATGTTAAACGGCAATTCGCTAGCTTATGCATACAGATCCACGCAAACCAAATCGGATAATTATTGCTTCCATATTGGCGGTTTTTCTTTGGAGTCCTCTTTTTTTCTCAAAAAGACCGTGCAGCAGCATTGCTGTTCTCTCCCTTTCCATCACACTCCCTCGCTTTCCCCTCATTCTTGCCCACCTCGCTTCATCTTCCTTGCATTACGAACCTCAGGGCGTCTCCCCTACCCTAACACGACTCCCCTGCCCCATGATTTTCCATGTCATCCACGCTTTCCTTGCAGGCGAGGGAGCAGCAGCAGAAGCTGATTGATGCGCTGGCTCTCTTCTTTGAGAGGTGAACCCCTCAAGCCCACCAGACCATGCCATGTTCACAGTCACTTGTCGTCATGTTCACAGTCACTTGTCGTCATGTTCACAGTCACTTATCGTCATGTTCACAGTCACTTGTCGTCATGTTCACAGTCACTTATCGTCATGTTCACAGTCTCTTGTCGTCATGTTCACAGTCACTTATCGTCATGTTCACAGTCACTTATCGTCATGTTCACAGTCACTTATCGTCATGTTCACAGTCACTTATCGTCATGTTCACAGTCACTTATCGTCATGTTCACAGTCACTTCACGTCATGTTCATAGTCACTTGTCGTCATGCTCCCTAGTCGCTTGAATGCGTGAGTGGCTTTTGATGCAATTCCTTTGACACATAAGCTCCAACCAATCCCACCAGAGCTTGTTATCTTGTTGCTGCCTGAGCCACTTGTGACTGTTAAATCACGTTACCACCACTCTGCCTCCCACTTTACACTCCCACAGAACCAATCAAGCAGCAGATGGAGGGGGGGGGCAGGGCGGAGGAGGGGGAGGAGGTGGGGGAGGAGGGGGAGGGGGAGGGGGGCAGGTGGTGGGGGCAATGGGGCCATGCCCCAAGTGCCGCACTTCCCACCTTGTGCTAAAACAGCGACCGGTGAGTTTTACGTTCGAGCCGACTCAAAAGCCACATGATTTTTAAGCAGCAACCGGTGAGTGAGAGGGTGTTGTGTTGACCTCGGTTGTTGTTCTCAAGCAACGACCTCCTTCCCCTTCCTATCCTCCTCCCTCCCACCCCATCTCATCGCCTGTCTTTCACGTTCTCGCGACTTTGTAGAACCGCCAGACACATGTGGTTCTGTGACTGCATGATCCGAATGCTCCTGCATCGTGGCATCCCCTTCTTTGTTGAAATCACTTTCGAGAATTCTCCCAAAAGTGATTTCTTTAGAGTTTCAAAAGTGAATGCATGGTCCGAAGGCTCCTGCATCGTGGCATCCCCTTCTTCATAACTCCCCTGTGTCCTCTTCAGATTTCCTTCCATTCCATCTCACATCTCTCTCCATCCTGAATCCTCCATCCTCCATTCTCGTGCCATGCTCCTCCCGTGCTCCCATGGGCAATCAGGGCGGCAGCTTCATGGCAGGATGCTCTGGCTTCCCCCTTGTGAGCTCCCACCCCACTCACTCCCTGCACCTCTGTTCTCTGCTCTAGGCCACGAGTCCACATGTGTGCATAGGCTGATCCCAACCACCGAAGCCCATGTCCGTGCGTGGGTTGATCTGTTGAGTAGTATCACATGAGTGACCTGGTGAATATCGCAGGAATAAATGAGTGACGTGGGGATTGATTGATTCCTTTGTGGGACAAACCAACCAACGAGCAGTTGTTTCGCTCCACCCCGAGCATTCATTACTGAATGAACTCTGTGAGGCGCTTCACTGCTCACTGTGCTGCAGTCACTTGATTGCACATCCTCCGTTGCTCATTTGCCAACCTGCCTTGACCTCCTCCTCCCGCCCCCTGAAACCCCTTGTTCCCCTGCCTATCCCCCTCACACCCACCTATACCCCCCACTCCCACTTTCACCAACCTTACTCCCCTCTCCACCTTCCCCCGCTCCCCCTCACACTGTAGAGAGGCTGTGTGGATGTTATCTGCTCTGGTCAAGGTGATGTCTGAGTCGACTCAACCCCTACCTGTCCCACACTCCCACCTCTACCTTCAATCCACCAACTTCTCTCAATCTCTCCACCCCCCCACTCCCCCTCACAGTGTAGAGAGGCGGTGTGGATGCCATCTTCTCTGGTCAACGTGCGTTTGACTCACGACTACCTTCCCCTCTTCCCCTCTTCCCCTCTCCCGCCTCCACCTCCCCTTAATTCCCCCTGGCAGTGCAGAGAGGCGGTGTGGATGCCGTCTGCTCTGGTGGAGGCAACTCTGGCTGACTCACACTGCCCCAACTGCCGCCCAGGTAGTGCTGCCAACCAACTGCCGCCCAGGTAGTGCTGCCAACCAACTGCCGCCCAGGTAGTGCTGCCAACCAACTGCTGCCTACTGCTGCCGCCAAGTGCCACCCCGTAGCAGTTCAAACATTCCTCTTCGTCATTCCACTTCGTCATCCTCTTCGTCATCCTCTTCGTCATCCTCTTCGTCATCCTCTTCGTCATCCTCTTCGTCATCCTTGTCGGAGATACAGCTCTACCCTCATCATCTGCCTTAATCCTCATGCTCTTCGTCCCTTAGCTCCTTCGGTTGCCTCAGCCACTCTCTGCCCCCTCCTGTGCCCGTGCTCGAGCGGCTTGAGCGCGGGTCACAGGACCAGTACGCTGAGGCCCGGTCCCTCTGATCTCTGCAGTGTTCGTCTGATGTTCCCTCAGCTGCGCTCCGGTGTCGTTTTCCAAGACCAGCACCCCTGAGGGGCGCACCTCCTTGACTTTCCAGCGGATGGTCCCCAACCCCACGTCAAGGGTGTCCTGCTTAGCCCTCTTCAGATAGACTTCCTGTCCTTCGCAGACATCCTTTGCTGTTCTTCCCTCCCCTTTGTGTTGCCTCTGTTCGTATCTTCTTGCGTCCCTGAGCTGCGCGGTGTGCAGATTCTCCAACGCGGCTGGCATCATGTAGCGCATGTAGCGCGCCCTCACCTCGGACAGGGCTACCCAGTTCCTGATCGTGCCCGCTGTCACTGTATCTGTCAATACTCGTGGTGCTCCCACTGGCAGAATCGGCTCTCGTCCGAACAGCAGGCTATACGGGGAGTGATCCTTCAACGCTGCCTGCTTCCCGAACCTGTACCCTGCCGCGATCCAGTCCAACTCCTCATCCCAATCCCTCTTCCTCTGCTCCCCGTAGGCCCGCAGCCCCCGCTTGAAGGTTTGCACGGCTCTCTCAGTCAGCCCATCACTCTGCGGGTGATAGCGGGAGGTCTTTCGGTGCGTGATGCCAGACTCCGCCAGCAGCTTCTTGAACTCCCCCTGGAACTCTGTTCCCTGGTCTGTGAGTACCTCCCCGCATGCTCCAAATCGGCACACTACTTGCGCTTTGAAGGCTGCTGCAATGTGCCTCGCGCTCTTGCTAGGGATCGCTCGCACCTCCAGCCACTTGCTCACATGTTCCACCATGAACACGATGTACTGATTCCCGCTCCGACTCAGTGGCAGCTCTCCCGCGAGGTCCAGGGACCAACGGAACCCTAGTCCGCAGATTGGCAGTGAGTGCAGCTCTGCTTTGGCCTGCGTCAGGTTTGCTTTGCTCCTCTGACACGCCTCGCACCCCTCCACCCACTCTTTTACTTGCCTGCGCATCCCTTCCCACCACCAGCCCGTCTTCAGCAGGTGTACGGTCCTCTCGTGCCCGAAGTGCCCCAGCTTAGTGTGCACTTCCTTGATCACTGCTTCACGGTCCTCGGGCGCTGGCACCAGCTTCCACCCATCCTCCGTCTTGATCTGCAGCTGCTGCTGATACCACCTGTAGTGGTGCCCTCATGCCCTTACTCTCTCAGGCACCGTTTCATCCTCCTCGGTTTCTCCCTTCACCCATTGCATTGCCTTTGCATCCAACCAGATGTCGGTTGGCCCCTTACTCCCCTTCGCCCCCGTCTGCTCCACCTCTCTTGCCAGTAAGATCAAGGTCCGTGCCGGCTCTTGCTCTGTCTCTTCCGTCCCCAGGGTGGCCTGTTTCGTTTCCAGCGGCGGTGGATTGCGGGAGAGGCCGTCAACGTGCTGCAGCGTCTTCCCCGGCCTGTGCCTGATCTTGAAATCATACTCCTGCAGCTTCACTGCCCACCGCGCGTTCCTGCCTGTCAGCCATGGTGTAGTCATCAGCCAGGTGAGTGGCTGATGGTCAGTGACTAGGGTGAATTCTCGGCCCTGCAGGTATATCCGGAAATGCCCGACCGCCCACACTGCCGCCAGCCCTTCCCCAATGTATGAGCTATATTGTGCTTCCGCCGGGTTGCAGCTCCTGCTGGCGTAGGCCACCACCTTATCCACTCCCTCCACCTCCTGGCATAATATTGCTCCCATCCCTTGGCTGCTCCAGTCTGTGTAGAGGATGAAGGGCTGGTCTGCTGCTGGCAGCCGCAGCACTGTCGCTGTCTTCACGGCTGTCATGAGGTCTTGCAGTGCCTGTCTCTGCTCCTCTCCCCACTCCCATGCCTTGTCCTCCCGCAGCATCCCATTTAGTACTGTCGCTCGTTTGCTGAAGTTCGGCACGAAGCGCCTGTAGTAGCTGAGGAAGCCCAAGACCGCACGCAGCCCTGACTTGTCTCTTGGTTCCCTCAGCCTGTCCAGCACTTGCACCTTCGCTTGCTGGATACCAATCTGCCCCCCTGTGACCTCATACCCAAGATACTGCACTGTCCGCTCCCCCCACCTGCACTTGTTGGGATGGCAGGTGAGCCCTGCCCCTTCTATGGCGGTCAATGTCCTCTCCACGTCCTCCAGGTGCTGCTGTTCGGTCAAGCTGAAGATCACGACATCATCAATATAGCACGCCGCGTGTTCTATTCCCCGCAGCACCGCGTCCATGACTCTCTGAAACACCGCCGAGGCGTTCCTCAGACCGAAGGGCATGTAAAGCCACTCGTACAGCCCATCCGGTCCGTGGAAAGCCGTTTTCTTCACATCCTCCTCTCTGATCTTGATTTGATTGAACCCCTGTCGCAGGTCCAGCGTCGTGAAGAACACCCCGTCAGCCAGCTTGTCAAAGAGCTCTTCCGCCATCGGCATTGGGTATCTATCTGGCACTGTAATTTTGTTGAGATCCCTGTAGTCCCCGCACATCCTCCTACTCAGCACCTCGCCTGTCAAGTCCTTCCTGGCTGCCACCACGGTTGGGGTAGCGTATTCTGATTCTGACCTCCTGATCAGTCCGGCTTCCAGTAGCTCCTTTATCTTCTCCCTGCAGATCACTTCATCCCCTGGTGGCATCTTCCTCCTGCGGTGGAACACCGTCTCATCACTACTCAATTTCAGCGCCATCTCTTTGATCTTGCACTTCCCCAACTCCAGCAGTGTGAAGGCGAAGCCCTTCCGATGCCTTGCCAGCAGTGCCCGCATCGCTGCCTTCCCTTCTTCGCTCATGCTCTCACCTATCTTCCACTCTGGCTCCTGTTTCTGCAGGCAGGCCCACACCCCTTGCCTCACCGTCGCCACTGTGTTTTCTCCCTCCTTCAGTCCCCAGTGCAGCACTGTCTCCTTCCACATCCGCTGCACCAACCACCTCATCATGTACCCATCCATGGCATTCCCCAATGCCCGTCTCCGTTCCTTCTCGCTCACGCCTGGGGCTGCTGTAGCGTTCTCCTTGTATCCCATGGCCAGCTCCCTCTCCAAGGCCGTGGGCTCTTCCCACTGTCCCTTCCTGTGGTCATGCACCAATCCTGGGCCTGGCTGCTTCCCATCCATCTGATAGCCTGCTGCCCCCTCATATGACACCAGGGTAGGCAGTGCCTGCCTTTCCTGTCCCACCTGGTTGCAGGGATAATGCCTGCTGTAGCCCTTCTTGGTCACTGGTGCTGGCGTTCTTCCTGGCTCCAATATGTCGCTCAGCTTCCGTCCCCCAGCTCTCTGCACCCCTTCTATTTCCTTCTGCAGGTCTTCTACTGGTACCACATTCTTCCAGTACATCCTGAGCCTGTGCGCATATGCTCCCATCCGCGCCGCATCACTGCTCACTCCTTTCCCCACCTGTCTGGTCACTCTCTCCCTTACTAGTCTTATCGGTTCTCTCACGTCTCCCTCCATATCCAAGTGCTCCAGCAGGTAAGCCACTCTGCCTTGCCTCGCCTGCACCCACTCCATGACTCTGAACAGATCCTCCATCAGTTGTGTTCGTAGGTCTTGCTCACCCTTGCCCTTCCCTGCCCATGATACCCCTTGGCATTCCCACCCTGCCACCAACAGGTCCACGTGCCCCCAGCTTGCTACCTCAGCTTCCGTAATGGCCCTTACATCGTTCACTCCTCTGCTCATTGCTGCCTTGATCACCTCTCCCTGCAGCAGCTCCGGGAACTCTCTGTGCAACTCCCACGCCTGATGCTCCGCTATTTTCCTCACTTCTGGTGCTTTCTCCACGTAAATCCACTGCTTCACTGCAATTCCATTTCGCACCACTGCTGCCAGTCCCGCCCCGATTCCTCCGAACAGCTCCATCAGCCGAATGGGTTGCTGCCAATCGGTCTGCTGGCTAGGTTCGTCCATGAAACGCATCCTGGGCTCCCCACCTTGTCCCTTGCCTGTTGCGGCCTTCTGTGCCCCCTGCTTCGCTGTCACCTCCTTCAGATCTGCCCTGTAGGCCCTTTTTGGCTCGGTCCTGACAAACTGCACCCGCAGCTGCCCCAGTGGCTCACCCTTCCTCCACCACCTGGTTCTGAACTCCACTGTCTCCTTCCAGAAGCAGATGGTCATGCCCAATGCAAAGATCATCTCTGTGCCCACCAGGACGTCAAAATCTTCTGACTCTGAGATCCCGCACCTGATTCTAACCGGCGTCTCATGCTTCTCCCCCTTCAGCACCGTCAGTTCTATTGGAGTCCTCGTACAAGGCATCCACTTCGACTCTCCCCCCTCTGCTGTCATCACTAGCATCCCCTTCACCACATGCCTGTCAGGTGCCCACAGTCCCAGCTTCTCGGCCATCCCCTTTCCGAGTATCACGCTCTGCGCTCCAGTGTCTATAATAGCCGTCTTAGCCTTCTCCCCTTCCACTGACAGCGCACCACCTTGGATCAGCAGCACGGAAGTCTGGCAAGCCAACCTCTCCTGGGGGTGCCGTGCTGCTGTGCATCTCTCCTCCTTTTCCTCCGGCTTCTGTCCTCTCTCCCGCTCCTTTCTCAGCTGCTCCTTCCGTGCATCCTTTCCTCCGCTGCGCAACCCCATCTCCTCCCTTCCTCGCCATGCCATGTATGCTGGTTGCTCCTCATGCTCCATCTCATTCTCTCCTCTTCCCGCCCAGACCATGAACGCGGCTTCCTCATCCTGCTCCACATCTTCTTCCTCCTCTTCCTTGGCGTACATCCCCGCCTCTGCTTCCCGTCGTGGTCCCATTGCCTGCAGCTGGGCCTGCAGCCTGCTGATTTGCTTCTCCAGATCTTCTGGTGACTTCTTCGCTGCTCCCTCTCGCTGATAACACTCCTTTGCTGCATGCCCTCCTTTCCCACAGACTTCACACTTCAGGAATTTACTCACGAGCAGGGCCATGTCTGCGCAAGTCACATCCTCTGCCAGGTTGACCAGCCGGTTATAGTAGGTGAGTAGTGACTCGCCCCGCCCCTTCCTGAAATCTTGGAATTCCCTGATCTTCTCTGCGGTGTGACCTGGAAACTGCCGTTTCAGCCGCCTCAGGAATGCTTCAGTAGGGTCTTCCCGTACCTTCCTGCCCTTTCCAGTAGCTCATCCATCTTCATCCTGTACAATGTCTCCGCCTCCCCTTCCAATGTGTTTGGCAGACTCAGGAAAAAGTCCACCGAGTCCA